ATATAAGTAATTTCAACTATAGATATTTTTAGTAATTTATAATATATATATATATATATATATATATATATATTCTTTTTTTGAACATATTTTTTTCTATGAATTTAAATTTATATCATGTTTCAGTTATTTTAAGAAGTCCCTACATATTTTTATTTTTTTTACCTATATAAAAAGAAATTCCTTCTATCTTTTAAGTAATCACCCAAGATTTCATGTCTAGTTTTTATAAAGAGATTATATTTCTTCATCTTTTTTTTTAATTAGTTTTTAAAAATTTTTATTTTTAAGGTTTTCTAAAATATAAAATATTTACTATTTATAAAAATAAATTATGAGGTTTGAATATAAAAATTCTATCAAATTTTATATCTTTGCTTACATTAATTTTACTTTTAATTTGGTTTCATATTCTCTATTCTTTTAATTATTTTTTTTAATCTAAGATTATATATTTTATAGCTTTAGGATCTATTTTTGATTTTTTGTATTAAAAATAAATAGATTTTAAGTATTTTAAAATTAAAAATTTAGAATAGTTTGAAAGTCTATCATTACATATTTTCTTTCATGTTTTATATTTATTTGCACTAGATGAGGAAGGATTTATTAAAAATTTAGAAAAATTAAAAATATTAAATCCAAAAACTCTTCTTTGATCTATCTTATACTTAACATATTTTAAATATTTTCCAAAAACATACATTTTAGCCTTATACCTTGTTTATTTTATTTTATCAATAAATTCGTAGAGTAATAGAAAAAAATAAACATTTTAATTATCTTTACAAATGATTTTATTTTTATTTTTATAAAATCTTAAAATATTAAATTCTTTATTTTTTCTTATTTTTCTTTTCTATTTTTGATTTTTAATCTTTAAAAATAAAAACATATATGTTTTTTACTTTATTTTATATATATAATCCAAAACCAAGACTGTTGGCCATCAAATAAGTCCTAGAGATCTATTTTTTGGCCAAATTAACTTCACTATTGTATTCAAAATATATTTTAAAGTAAAGATTGTCTATTCACTTACCTTAATTTATAAAAATTTATAATACTTATGAAGATTAAAGTATAAAATTTTGGATTGAATTTAATTTATTCCTAAATTACTTCTATATTCCAATTCAATCTTAGTCATTTTATTTATACTAGGTTTTTAGCAAATAAAAGATAGCTCAAGTTAAGATTTAATTTAATAAATAAAATTATATGAATTTCCTTCTATCACTACTTTTTTTGACATTGAATCATTATTTAGCTCTAAATTAATAAAAATACTAATTTTAGCCCTGGAACACCTTAATTGCAATAATATATATACCAACCATATTCTTATAGCTAATATAAATTGGAGTTTATTTCTATATGTAATTAGTTAATTGGCTTCTAAAATTATTTATATTAAGAGCCATATGTTTTATTGATAGATCATTTAATTCAACTCAATATGTTTTTTGAAACTTGTGCAATATTCTATAAGGATTTTTAAGGCCAAATTATATTGCTATTTAATGCAAGAGCTTCTTTTTTAAAAGATTCTAGTCTATTTTTTATTTGAATTTTTGTATTCTTTAGGTATTGGTTTACTAATTTTTAAAAATAAATTAGATTTTTTTTTTTTTTATTCACAAGTGGCTTTTGTTATGCCTCTTTTTTAATGTAGTAATATTATTGATTGCTAATTTTTTATAGACTATATAATTTTAAAATCTTATGCTTTAAGATTAGATTCATGAACTAATTTCAAGTCACTTAGATTAGACATGTCAATTCCTTGTTTTGTCTTTTGCAATTATATTGATACTAATATTCATGCCTATTATTTTTAATTCAATGCAAACAAAATTAAGTTCTTCTTTCTACATGTAGTCATTGAATTTGGTTCCTATAAAATATCTAAACTATGCAATAATAATATTAAGATTTGTATTTCTATCTTGCACTTTACTTATAAAAATGATCCAAAAAAAATTAATTTCCATATTTTTATAATTGATTAATATCAATTTTGGCTTTTATCAATAATATTTTAATTACACTTTTAAGTTTTTAATCCTCATAAAAAAGAATTGCAATAAAAATTATTTTATTAAAAAAATCTATTCTAATTTATACACAATTCTAAAATGTGTTTTAAGAAAAATTCTAATGTTGAAGAAATTTTCTTAGAGTTTTTACACAAGTCATCTTAAAATTATATGACTTGGAATTTTTAACATCAAATTTTTTTTTTTGGTGAGTAGAAGATTCTAAAATCCTTTAGGATCAAAGACTCTATATTATTGCTAGAATGAGCATATCTCAAAATAAAAATTTGTTGGGAGATTAGACTAATATTTTGATCATAGATTCTTTAATTACAAACTTTAGATAAAAGATTTTTTTGACAAGAAATAAATACAAATCATAAAACGTTGCCATGTCTTCTATTGCTATTGCCATTATTGTATACATCCTTCCATTGCAAATCACTATCTTGATCCTAATGTTTCTGTTTTTATTGTAATTATAATTATTAATTGTTTTTATAACCTAATATAAAGCATTGCTTTGCCACTAACTTTTCCCTTCAACAATATACTCTCTACTGCACACAAAAATGCTCAATCATGGCCAGTGATGAGCCACTCAGATCTCTCACTCCACCTGCCTTTGTAAGATGCAGACCACTTTTCCCCTAATCCAGATTTATTTATTTATTTTTATTTTTTATAAATATTTTTTGATTTTTTGCTTTTTTTGCAAAGTAGATATGGCTAATCAGTGAAGACATATCAACACTTCCCATTTGGATGTAATAGGAGGGTTCAAAATACGTCACCAAATCACCTACCTCACAAGATGGGGTGATTTTGAAATCCAAATATCAAAGGAAGAGTGGGTCAAATATCAAAAACCATGTCACTCATCTTTACTTTGCCCTTTTGGACTCCACACCAAGGGGATAATAAAGTTTGAATCATGGGATAATATCAGGGAGTAATAAAGTTTGAATCGTGATATTTTGAGTTTGATATTTTGAGTAATCCTGGAAATATCAGGTGCTAAATTCCAGTTATGTGGTATTGCAAAAGTGGCTCAGGAGCTCATCTCACCAACTTGGAAAGTGTTCATTGATATTCTGGGAACCAATTCTGATGCTGTAACCGGCGTTGGGATTGGGGACCAAGCTGCTAAGCGGATATGCTGGGGAAGTGCTTGCTAGAAAGTGGGCACACATGGGTGTTGGCTAGGGGATGGCGTGGACATCTAGTACCTGCAAGCAGTGTCTGATCGGCCTCGGAATGTACCCTCCCTCATTGTGCATGACTGTTCTTCAGGAGAATACTGTAACTGGGTCCATGCTCTCCGTCTGTCATTTGCAACGATGAGTCAGTGCTTGTCTAGCATAACTTTGTCAGAGCAACAATTACCATAGGATGCACAGCTATTGCGTTAAGCCTGAATATCTTTGCTGCTGCTGAGTTGAAGCCTGCCGTCTGCTGGTTTCTCCAGTCGTTTATTGAGAATCATGAACACGCTGTTTTGTTTTTTTTGTTTTTTATTAAATTTTTTTATTTATGTTTTTATTTTTATTTTTGTAACTGAGTATCATGATAATAGTGTGACATATTTTCTTTTTGACCCTTGGTAATGAATATATTATGAACTGAAAAGTAGACTTTTGACCTCAGAAGACTTCATGATTGCCACTCTCCCCTGCATCTTCTTGGCCTTCTTCTTTTAATGCTTTAAAATTTAGCTGCGGCCAACAGAATTATTTGCTCGAATGCCTGTTCAACCATCTGGCCACGTGCAGTTAGTGAGGCTGCACCTGTTGGAAGAAAGAGCGTCGGCTTTTCTTGATTGTTTGATGGCGAGATAGGACCACGATCATCTTCAATAGTTTCCCATTCCTGGATCTTCGACTGTTGGAAATCGTAAAACTTGCAGCAGTGGAAGCCTTCTGATCTTTGTACATGCACAAGTAGATGGTCGTAACTCTATGCATCTACTTCGTGGAACTAACTGGAATCCGTTCATATCGGTGCGTTATGACTAGATACGACGCAACGGCATGTCGTTTTGATATTGATATAAATTTTCTTGCATTCTGACAAAATGCAGCCTCATGCAAAGTCTGGGTGTTCCAATGAAATAAACAGCGATTTGTCGTGTCAGGATTAGATGGCATTCTCGTGTTGCTGATACAGCCTTGTCAACATTGACTTGTACTGGTTCGTTCTATTATTCTTTGCAAGTTGATTAGGAATAAAGTAGAAAACATAACAAATTAACAAGTTCACAAGAGTGATTGTAACTAGTGCTGCACCACATGAGTATGGTATTTGCTAATCTTCTAAAATATGAACTATCGCGCTTGTGTGTATTATACACGACTCTTACAAGGTAAATCACTCATCTACAAAAGAACAATATTCTTAGGTCGTTTCTCGAAACATTTCAGTACAATTCGTCTGCAGAGAAAAGCCTTGGGTTATTTTACTTCATGCTCACCTGATGGCTCAAGAAGCTATAAGCAAAATCGATCTACAATCACCGTGTCTAATGAAAATTGCGCTGTTACCAACCTAGCGAGTTTAAATAACTAGTGTTCTAGTAAGATATACATGTTGAGGATTTCCGATTCAAACCAAATCCCTTGCAATTGTCTCCATGCTTGTTTAAGTTCAGGAAATTTCTGTACCTTTGTAGGATTGGTATAACTGTCTGGAAAAGAAATGCTGCATGCGTTCTCACAATCCTACGACATCTAAACATTGTGCTTGCAATCTCTAGCGCATCCGTTTAGTACCATTCCTGGTCACGAGTCCTCCACCAAGCCAAAACATTGCCAAACCGAACATATTCAGTCCATAATAGGCACTAAAGAAACTGCTCAAATGGCTGCTAAAGTATCAGCCACGTCGATTTCATGAAACATCGAACCATTGATAAGCAAACTGAATCCATAAACTTTAATGTATTTTCGCTTTGAGTATGTTCGTTTTGAGTATCTCTGGCGTTGTTGTACTCCGAGAGAGACTACAAAACATCATCAGGGGCGCTTGTGCATGGTTAGCAACTTTAATTCTATGTCTTACTGGTATGTGAAACTAAATCTACTCAGCTAAGTCTTAGAGGCCCAGCATTTTAAACAACCTACGCTTTATAATTTTGCTGATTGTATTTTCGCAAAAATTGTGTAAACTATCTAAGCAGTAAACGTAACTATGTAAGCAAATGACGTAAGCAAACGTAAATATGTACGTAAATGGCATTTTTAGGACGATTTTCATGGTCACTATTGATAAACTTCAAGTGCTCTTGATCATTACAGTTCTGCCATAGCAGCTCCAAACGCTGAATCTCAAACTCCAACACAAATCTAGCAGTTTTCTGCGCGTGTGGACTTGGGCATGGGTAACAAGCCCCTGCGAATAAAATGGTCTAGTGTATTTAAAAAGTGAATCTGTTTCACTTGAGAATAGTATTCCAATTTGAACGGTATATACAACGGCTCATCCTCCACAAGATCTGAAGCGGCCACGACCTCAACATCTTGAGGAGGCAGAAACAGATAAGCCAGTGAAAGACGAGCATCAGCTCTGTTTACAACGGCTCGGTGTGGCACACTCGTGTACAGCCCGTTGGTTAATACCTGAGCAGTCAGAACCAATATTATCAATCTCTTTGATATCTTTTTTATAATATTTTCATGGAAAGCTTACAAGATATAATTAGCCAAATATATCGATGACTGACACGTAGGTTCCAACATGAATTGTCGCAGGCCAACCTGAAGCATGTCACCTATGTTGACGGCAAATGTATCGTTCCGAGGCTTCACTGCTACCAGGCGCCGTCTTTCTGAATTTGAAGTCCTCCAACGGAACCCAAGTGCAGGACTGTCAACAAAGTGAAATCCGTGTGCACGTTCATCCCCAATGTTTTATGCGGCTCAGGACATGCAGGGTAGTAGTTCCAGCGGAACAGACCGGCACTCTTCTCGTTTACGTACTTTTCGAAGTGTGTTCTATCAGTCACATGCAGACCTTCAATGATCAAGTCCAGGAGTCTCTTGCACAGCACCTGGATCTCTTCGTCGTAGTCTCTGTACGCAGCACTGCAATCCCGAAATATCACATCCAACTCAGTCACAATACCCATCGGCACATTCGGTAATTCACACATCACAAGTGTCAATATAAACAACTTACGTGAATTCTCTGTTGTATTTCTCGGGCCACATGGTGCGCGACAGTTGGTCGACCTCGCTGAAGTCGTTTAGGTAGAATCCCTCAGCCCAGGGTTGTACATCACCCGCTTTGACAGTAACATGCCCGAAGCCAGTGAACGTGCCAGGAGCTTTCTGAACACTTTTCTTCATTTCCATTGGAAGATTGAAGAACTTGAAAGCCTGGGTACGAACACGTTCGATCAGATTCAGAGGGAAGCCGTGATTCTTCATCTGGAAGAATCCCCACTTAAGACAGGCTTCTCGCATTTGTGCGACTGCTTTCTGCTTTGCGGCTCTGTCGCCGACATCACAGCACGCCAAATCAATCATTGGAATGTCGGCATTCGAGTACTCATCGTGCTTCACAGAGGGGCGAGATTGAGCAGGCCAGACGTGTGATGTGGGGACTGCATTGTGCTCTTCCCAGGACGGCAGACTACCCTCTGGAAAACTGCATTCCCCTGCAGCTGATAAGATTTTGTCGGACATGTCGGAAACGATTAGTATAGTGAATCTACGAGAAGCTATCTTCCCCAGTTCCGAATGCAAACAACTAAGCGATCAGCATGGTTGTATCAGGGGTTGCCTCAGGCGGTGACTGTCCTGAATTTGCTCGGAATCTATTTATACCGGTGCTTGTAAGAACTGCAGGGAAGGAACTGAAGAAGATTCGCTAACGGCTCGGTTACTGTTCATGGAACTTCGTCGTGTGCACTTTCGGCCGCCGCCAAATGGAATACTGCACTCATGGTGATCTATCTGAATTGTACCTGGTATTGGTCGAGATCAGGGCATGTCGTCCACCTTCCGTCGTAGATTACAACAGGCAGTAGCAGAATATATGAAAACTGCGCCCCCACTAAGAAAAATGTAATGCCGCATGCGTATTAGCGATTAACTTCCAAGTGGGCATTCGCGAATTCAGGGAATAGAATTAAAGAGATCTAGTCGACAAAGTGGTGCAGAAACGAATAAAACGTATCACCCAAGTGCACAGTGGAATTCCACTGTCCAGTGGTAACTTGAAACAAAGTTGCACATCCTAGAGGGTGTGGCGGATGAAGTCATAGATGGTTCCCAAATTATTTGTGTTGCTGTTACAACTACTCAATCGTTGTAGGTAGTATACATGAGTTTTAGGTGCGCAACAATACGTTTTTCTTTCTTTCTAAAACAGAAAAACGTGGAACCCTTTGCTGATTAACAAGGAATTCAATACATTATGTTAGCTTTATTTTATGGCTCCAACTTTCGGTAAGTTTTACATAAAATAGAAGGTGAAGCAGGTGACTCTATTTCATAGTCATTGTTTACCTATTATTTATATTTTGTTTTCTCTGTTCAACCTGTTTTATAAAATTCAAATATAGTATTTTTTTTAGGTCTTTCTCAAATAAGTTGTATATAAGTCAAGGTTGATGTCTTTCTCAAATAAGTTTTCCTAAAATAAGTTTTCGTAAAGTAAGTTTTCTTAAAACTTATTAGCTTAAACCATAATATTATAATTATTTGAATTCAAATTATTATAATTTATTTTTTTGTGAATTCAAATTTCTTGCTTAAAAATTAATTAATTAATATAAAAATAACTTTGAAAAAATAATATACTCTTCTATCATTCAAAAGAAAATAGATCAATTAAAAATACATTTATGATAGATAGAAATTAGAATGGCTATTACTAAATGCAAAGAAACTAGAGAGTCTTAAATCAAGATTAGAATATAATAAAAGTGTTTACAAGAATAAGAATGAACTTAACTTTGCTTCCATACATATTAGCTCTAAAAAAGGTCTTGTACAAGCTTTATGGAAATTACAAGGCTTGTGGTGAAAGAATCTAGTTGTAGGTTGTTTCTAATAAGATATTCTAAAAATAAAAAACTATATCGCAAAAATTTCATTATATATGGAGTATATGTATAAAAGTCTAAATATAAAATTTCATAAATAGAATTTTATAAATAGACTTTTATACATATACTCCATATATAATGAAATTTTTGTAATCCACATCTAAGAAATTTATTGAATGCTTTTTAAGAAAGATATATTTTTTTTCAATAAGTTTTTATCTATTTCTATCTATTTCTATTTAAATATATTTATTAAAATAATATTAATTATTAATTATATCACTTCTTCATTTTAATAATAAGTTTCACAAAGAATTGTTAAACTCTTTCATAAGTTGATAAAATTAAAGATCTATCAATTGGTGTTAGCAACAAATTCTAATTTATTTAAACCACAAAGGTGGTTGATAGGTCCCTTTGAAGATTGGAATTAAAAAGATATTTATGAATTCTAATAATACATCTTAATTATTAGATATATAAAAATAAAAAACCTTTTTGAGTTTTTCAATATAAAAAAATATAAAATTTAGAGATTATTTTTTAGTTATCTATGTATTTATTAGAATGTATTAGGTTTTATAATTTAAAAAAGTCTTATGGAGGGAAAAAAATAAAAATAGAATCTCAATAAGTCTTTAAAAAAAATATTTTTAATTGATTTAAGTTTTTTTTCTAATCATAGTAACAAGTGTTTAATTATTAAAATTAATTTTAAAATTTTCTTAAATTCACATATATTACTCATTATAAACTTGTAAATTTTGATTAGTAGGTAGAAAAAATATAAAAATAAACCTCATGACTTTTAGTTAATTGCAAAAATGATAGGATTTTTTAATTGATTTAAATTATTATTTTAATAAAAAATTATCAAGATAGGATAAAATAGATTTAAGTTAATATATATATATATATATATATATATATAAAATCAAAATAGTTTTTATACTTAATTTAAAGTATATTTAAAAAAGTGAATATCTATCTAAAAAATTTCAAAGCTACTGCAAACAAGAAGAGATTAGAAGAGAACTTACTTCAGCTTATTGTCGTCAATAAAACAACCTATCGAAAAGAAAAAATACATCTATTTTAGAAGGAATAAGAGGTGTTACTACTGGAAAAAAAGTACCTAAATATCTATAAGAAGAAATTGCAAAAATTATAAATTATATTGAATACTTCTCTTAAGGTATATTTAAGTTGAAATTCAATTCAACAATCAATTAAGTAGGAAGAAGGCAAGATTAGTTGCAAGAAGATTTGAACAAAAAAAAAAACATAGGCTTTACTAAGACTTTTGTTCTTGTTATTTAATAGTCTATAAATAGAATTGCTACAATCTTAGAAGCTACTAATAATTAGATTATATATTATATTGATGTAAAAAAAACCTTTTTAAATAGGATTCTTAAAAAAGAAGTTATCATGATTCAACCAAATGGTTTCATGTTATTAAAAAAAGAATCTATATACAAGCTAAAATAATTACATAAGACATGGCATGAGAGGTTAGATAATGTGCTAAGAGATATACATACGACAAGAAGTAATTTTGATGCAAACATATATGACATATATAATGATGGTGATATTGTTATATTTATGTTATATGTTAAGAATCTATTCATTACTAGAATTAACATCAAGCTTATTATATGGTTGAAAAATTACCTTCAAATTGTGTTTGATATGGTTGATCTTAAAATTATTCAATAATATTTAGGAATTGATTTTGATACAACATCTAAAAAAAAAATTATTCAATAAATAAAATATGCAATGAACATCTCAAAGAAATTTAGAATATTGGAGTATAAATTTTCATACATATTCATATTAAAAGAATTAGTTTTAGTCAACAATAAAAAAATCTATCTTATGCAATGCTATACTCTTTTTCAATTAGTTAAAAAACTTATATTTATTACTATTATAAGATTAAACATTGCTTATGCAGTAACTATAGTGAATAGCTTAATTAGATGACTCAACTATAGAAAATATTAAAATGTATTGTGATAATCAAAGAGTAATTAAGCTTGCACAAAATCTAATATTTTATTTTCAAACAAAATATATTAAAATTTATTATTTTTTCATTCCTAAAAAAATGCTTAAAGGTAAAATTAAATAATATTATATCAATATTAATGATAAACCTACGGATTTACTTACTGAATGATTGGATTGAATTAATTTTGAGCTCTATCAATAAGTTCTCGATATATAAGAATTATATTTATTAAATATTTATATATAAATATATTTTCTTCAAATTTTGACATTTTTTTAAATATTTTGGCTTTAATTCTCTTAATTATTATTATTATTATTAAAAAATTTAATAATAAAATTATTAAAAATTAAAATAAAATATAATTTTTTTTTTACATATTTGCTTAATTTTTTATTTTAGCCATTTTTAAAAAACATTACAATGAGAACTACTTATTATGAGCAGATTATCTTTTTTAAATACTAATACATATGAATATAAATTTGCATATATATATATATATACTAGTTGGAGTATTGGTTGAGAAAAAAAAAAAAAAAAAAAAAAAAAAAAACTTACCTTTTCAAGTCTGTTTAGTAGTAGGCTACTCTTTGCTATCTCCACCATGGCTTTTCCACACAATCACTGCCATTGTTGATATCAGATTTGACCACACTAAGGTATCAACCACACTTAGAGGTCCTGGTCCTCTCCAATTACCTCCTTAATCACCTCTTGAATTTCTTTGAGTTGCCCTTTGCCACTAGCTTTTTTACTATAAATATGAAAGTTGTGGCACAGAAACTCATATTCCTTCATCTTTATGCTACTCTCAAGGAGTGCATGGCCTTCTCACCACAAATAAAATAAGTCAATTATGCTGGAATAGCTCAATTAGGCTATTATGCCAAAAAAAAATGATTGGAGCAAAAATGGCACTCTCTTGCCTCATGACAAGTGCACCATTATTGGCGGCATAGTTGATCATAAACTTTACATCCTTATTACTCATTATCAACTTCTGTTGTGCCAAAAATTCCTTATTGAATGGATCACAAAATGTGGTCTGCTTGTTGAGGCTACCTTGCTTCTATCAACCATTTTGGCACTACAGAAGAAGAAAAAAAAAAAAAAAAAAAAAAAGATGCACTACCACTCTTACATTGAGACATAGACAAAACATATAGATTGCCACTATCAATTCTTAATAAATCTACAATAAGTATCAAAAAACTATATGAGCAAGAAAAAGAGAAGGAAATTGATTAGCAACAATAAGATAACATCTTTATAGAAATCAAAAGAAAATCTAGCAATACATGTCATAGACCAAGTAAACCTTTTTAAAATTCAATCTAATCAAATCTCTTTCTGCACTAATTTTCAATTTTTTTCATCACTAGTTTATTAGTTAACTAGAAATTTGTGATGAAAAAAATTGCAATCACAATGCATCATTAGATATCCAAGAACTTGCATCTATCTAAAGCTAGGATTTGTTGGAAGTATTATCATCCATCTATTAGTTAGGATTTCATATAGTTGTTGAAATTTCATCCTTTTTAGATAAATAAATATATCCAATTTTTATATTATATAATTTAAATCTATATAAATAAATATAGATTTTATTTTATATTATTAAAATATATATATAAGGCCAAAAAAATAAAAATTGAATATTAATAACAATCCTACTAAAATAACAAATTCATTATTG